TCAGAGTGGCTATATGGGACAAGTTTGAAGGTCTGGACTCTGTTTCACTCACCTCCACTGTTTATTTAAATGGGACAAAGTATTCAAAAGGAATGGTACTCTCAGTAGGACACACAAGTGGACTGCCTGATTTTGGGAGAGTACTTGAGATCTGTTTAGTGGATGGCAATGTATCTTTCATTATTGAACTGTTCACAGCTGGTTTCTTAGCGCATCTCAGGTGTTACCAGCTCACCAAAAAAGACCCTGCAGTAACTGTGGTCATTGATCCTGACAAGCTGAATGACTTCTTACCCCTGGCCGCATACTTTGTTAAAGGAAAGCTGCTTATAACTCCGAGGACATTCATGACACAATAAGGTATAGTCTGATTAAGGAAGGGGTTCTGAAAGTTCTGAAAGTACAAATACCCATGCTCATTTTATAAAACCCTTTTATTTTTACTGTTTTAATTCTTAAAATTTCTGTTTTTAACTTCCATTATTATTACATCCCAGCAACTGTTCAGTAAGTCACTGCTGATCAAATCACAACACTTTTACTGCAGACATGCACTTTTATTACTTGTATAGTACAATTTCGTGCACCTACCTGCTTTATTGTTTTTCATCTGCTTTCAGATAGGATGCAATTTGTATTTTTCCACTGTAACGGTAAAGTGTGTTTCGTCACTGTGTTACAGTTGTTGATGCCTCCAAGATGCTTCTCCGCGTTATTGTGTCAGAAGAAGAAATACGACGTGTCACCCTAGAGAGTGTTCCTGAGTCAGTGAAGGAGTTATGTGATGTGCTACGCATAAGTCTGGGTTTGCGAGGAAACTTCATTCTACAGTAAGAAGATCCTGACTTTGGAAATCAGCTCTGCAATTTGACAGACATTAAAGACCATCCAACTGATCGAGCAACACTGAAAGTTTTGTTCACCTTTCCTGAACGAATTTCTGATTCAACATCAGAAACAGCAAGCTTGAGTTCCGCAAGTAGTGCTTCACCAGTGGAATGGCCTAATCCTTTTGCTATTCCAAATTTCTCGCATGATGTTGAACTACAGCTGAGCGCAGCAAATGATGCCTTTGCCAAGGATGGAACATTGATGGTCATCTCCAAGGGTGTTAAAAGTGAAATACTGGACAAACTAGCAGATGTCATATCCAAAATCACTGTCTATCCAAGTAAGCACCAATATGAAAGTGTAGCCACAGTTCTTGTGGCAAAGCATCCTTGTCTGAGGGAGCCGGGTTCTGCCAAAGGATGGTATTGCTGGGTATTCAGCCTAAAATTCAAGATGGGAAATTACCGTCAGAGGTTGATGGCAGCTGGATGCCCTGAAGTCCTTGTAAATAAGAGAAAGAGGGGACAGACAAATAGCAAGGCAATCAAAAAGTCAAAGAAGGGAGAGATACACTACTTGCCAGATCCACCAGAAGGACAAAGTGTAGTGAAATCAGAGGAGAATAGGATGACCATGCTCTTAGAGGTGCAGAAGAGTGCTCCAAATTTGCAGCTCCTTGATGAACTGATGATGGCAACATTCTCTCAGCGAAGAAAGGAAATCATTGGTGATGAGCCACCTATCACTGTAGTCATGGACAGGTGGCCTGCATTATTTAATGAGAGACAGGTAACCAGTGCCAACTACTGTAAGACATCCACGGTATTATGGTGAACTACGATGACATGCTATATTTGTTTATTTAAACATTAATGTTATCAGATTGCTTGTAATTTGTAGGTGTCATAAATATACTTTAATTTTTGCTGTCTTATTTGTCTTTCAGATAAGTACGGAGTTCCAAAGAATCGTCACTACAGACCTGCTGCAGTCATTCCTGGATGGGCTAGATGACTTGGTGCCAAGTCTCTTAGAACTGTACAAAGCTGGTGTTACATCAAGCAGGAGGCTGACCCTTAGCAGTATTCTACAGTGTCTTCATAAGGAGGCATGTATAGAAATAAACTTGTCAATCTGTACTAAACGGAGGTTGTCAGTCTAAGTAATGTAATGATTTGTATTTGTCTGTACTTGTACTGTACATAGGATACAAACCAGAACAGAAGAACAGCTGCCCTACTTGGTCTTCCGCGTTTTTTCTCAGAGGATACTTCTGAGATAATCAGGATGTGTGATGTAAGGAAATTTATTTCCACATTGATAAGACACTGATAATACTGGATTCAGTGCTATTCTATGACTGAAATATGATAATTATAATATCTTAATTATGTGAGTTGATTTTATGCATTATTTCACAGTGCAGTCCAAATTGTGCTCTGCACCAAATCAAAAGAACATGTGGCCATTAGTCAATTTGAATTCTATCCAGAGTCATTTTACTGTGCATATCTTGATCTCAGCTGTATAGTATGTTACTTGATAGCATTAAATGTAAGTTTAAATCTGCCCATTTGTTTTAAGTTCATGGTGAAACCCTGGATATCATCATGAAGGGGATGCGGGTAGGACTTCTGATCGGACATGAAGGCACTTTGCATGATGCTTTTCCTCTTGAAATCTTCAGTGTGGCTGTAGTGGTAGAGGAGAAGATCATTCTTCACGGCCTCAGAGATGTGCCTACTGGTTTTGCTATGCTAATGGGCACCATCTACTGCCTTAATCTGGAATACCCTCGCAGTATGAAGTACTNAGGAGGAAATGGTCACACTGCAATGTTAAATATTGCTTCCACAGAGCCAGTGATGTAGTTTTAGGCAAGTAGAGAGAGGGATAGAGAGTAAGGGGGAGAGAAGGTGAGGCAAGTAGAGAGAGGGATAGAGAGTAAGGGGGAGAGAAGATGAGGCAAGTAGAGAGAGGGATAGAGAGTAAGGGGGGAGACAGAAGGTGAGGCAAGAAGAGAGAGATAGAGAGTAAGGGGGAAGACAAGGTGAGGCAAGTAGAGAGAAGGATAGAGAGTAAGGGGGGAGACAGAAGGTGAGGCAAATAGAGAGTAAGGGGGGAGAGAAGGTGAGGCAAGTAGAGAGAAGGATAGAGAGTAAGGGGGGAGACAGAAGGTGAGGCAAATAGAGAGTAAGGGGAGAGAAGGTGAGGCAAGTAGAGAGAAGGATAGAGAGTAAGGGGGGAGAGAAGGTGAGGCAAGTAGAGAGAGGGATAGAGAGTAAGGGGGGAGACAGAAGGTGAGGCATGTAGAAAGGGTGTTAAATATTGCTTTCACAGAGCCAGTGATGTATCTTCATGTTCTTATTTTGCTTTTAAAACAAATTTTAGTTTGAATGTTGGTCAGGAGTTGTCAATGTTACATGTTTTTAAAACAAGGATGCTATGTTAAGTACTGCTTGTTCTTACAACGAGGCAATTTGAAGTCTTGAAAAAGAGGGAGAGTAAGGGAAGGGAGATTGAAAAAGATGGTATGAGGCAAGTAGAGAAAGGGATAGAGAGTAAGAGAGAAGGCCAGGATAGTGAGATGCAAATGTAAAGACTGAGTTATGTTTGCACATACTATGTACAGTGTTAAAGTTTGTATTACATTGTTCTTATTCAAATAAAAGTATATTTTTCAACAAAAGTTGTAATTTGATTTATCATGAGATTTAAGGAAATGGAAGAACTTGCCATTTATAAAGAAAACAAATCTAAGTAGAAACAATTTTAAAAAATGAGTCTTCTAAACTTAAAATGGCAATTAAAATGAATATTGTTAACTTGAGATTGTGAGTTGAACTGCTGCAGAAATGGGTACTTGATTGACAAAATACAGTGAGTTTTCTTGACTGGATAATGTAACATAGTTGCTTGTTTTAACATAGATTTTCAAGTTTAAACGACAAATGATCATAACTTAAATAAACTTTGACAACTTGAAATACAATGGTGAGACAAAGAACATGCTTTATTTAGATTAATTTA